GTGGGCCCACCATACTTTTATCTGGGGGTTTAGTGGGTCTGCCATACTTTATCTGGGGGGTTAGTGGGCCCACCATACTTTTATCTGGGGGGGTTAGTGGGTCCACCATACTTTAATCTCACCCCACTGGCTGCCTGTAAGTTTTAGGATCCATTTTTTAATTACAGTAGTTTATTTGTTTTAAATCTTTAACGGTCTTTGAATGGTCCGACGCAGACACAGTTTATCCTGCAGCAGCTCCTAAACTGAAGAAGCTGCTCCTCCACCTCAGACAGGACTCTACGTGATCCGTTTTTAAAACTATTCTTAAACCCACCTCTTCTCCTTGGTGTTTAACACTTTGTAAAGAGCTGTTTTTATTTAATTTTACACAAAATTTAATTTTGTGGCTTTTATTGCTTCTTTTTGTTTTACTGTTTGTTCAGATTTTATGTATTTTTTTTATTGTACTTTGTACTGAGTGAGCCATGTTTTAATGTCGACTCTGTTCGGCACTTTGCTCTGCTGCAGTAGGTTCAAGTGATTTGCAAATAAAGTTGGATTGGAAAATGTTCACTAATTAAATTTATTGCACTGCTGTAAGTTGCTGTAAAAGAAAACACTCTTGAATTTTGAAGATAAAGAGAAACAGAATTATAAAAATACAGTAGATGTTCTGACAGGATACAGGAGCTATTACATGATAACTGCTGAAATATTTGTTCTTAAACGTGCAGTTAAAGATTTATGATTAGAAAATGAATCTGATCTGAAACCAGTGAGATGTGTGCAGCTCTCAGACAATCTGCAGGAGCTCCCATTAACTCACACCAAAAACTTGCACCCGAGTTACTTTTTAAACTACTTTGTACCAATTCATAAGCTTTGTTTTAATCTAATACTACTAATTGACTTTATGTAGTATGTGAATGTTTTTGTTCAGTGTCCTGGGACAATTTCTGTTGTGACTCAGCGCTGTATAAATAAACTGAATTGAATTAACTTATTCTGTTGAATTATGTCAAAAACAAAACAAGTCAGGCTGCCTGGTTGTTCCAGTGTATGCAGATTTTTATAGTTTTGGTAGAAAACAAAAATGTAAAAAAAACTGGAGTTCGTTCGATCATGACTTTAACAGAGTTTACTCCAAACCAGCAGAAATGTCACATTTGTGCACATATTTGACGCAATCTGTTGGTTTCCTTAGACACACCAGGTTTCACTCGTGACATTTCATAATCCAGTGAAGATTATTTATTATAATAAAATTAGACTAAAGTCATGGCAAGTCATTAGAATTTGATCAGAACCCGTTTTGGACTGATGGGAGTTTATATTTTAGGATAAAGCCTTATAAAAACTAACAAATGTTACAAAAATAACAGATTAACTGATTTAATACAGGACCTGCTGTGCAACATCTGCTCCAGCTGTGGTACGTCCTGCTCCAACAAAAACTTCAACGTCTTTTTATTTTTTGCGAGTTTTGATCAGTAAGTTTAAATGTAAAAATCTAAAGCAGAAACATCTGGACTCTACACTCACGACAAGTCAAACAGCAGGATGATTCAACTGCACGTGAAGAAATAAAAGTTAAAGCTGCTGCTCTGCAACACAAACACACAACAGCACAGCTGCTAGCTCCACGGCTACACAACATTACCATGGTGAGGACGTGTGCTGCTGGCCCGCCAGGTGAAGGGTCTTGGGCCGGGCGGCGGAGCAGCTGCCTGCATTAGACGGCCGCTCCCAGTAGGGGTCACTGTGGGACACAGAAACGTGGACAGGGTCTTAAAGGACAGACGCAGGGACAGAAGAAGAGGAAGAACAACAATTTCATCACGACTCATTCAAATCTGAACATACGGGCCTTTAGCATTTATTCAAGTCGGTTAGAAGCTATTTTTATAAGCTTGTAAAGTTATTAAAGTATTTAGAGATCAACAGTCTAGTTTTTAGTTTAGATCGGTTAGCAAAGCTTTAGCCAGAAAGCTAACTCAGAACTTCCTTTTGCCCTTCACAATAAAAGTGTCAACATATAGAGTTCTGTCACAGACCGTTTATCTCAGAAAACACCAGAAGTAAATCAGACAGCACATTTCTTCATGTGGAAAATAAACTGTGGACATTTCAAACTCAGTGGGGAAATTTGTTTTACAAATTAAACAAGAAAAAAAAAAATTGTCCTTAAATTTTACATTTTTTTGCACCTCATTCTGTCAGCTCCAAAAAGACTGAAAACTTTTGCACAATGTTGGTGGGGAGCTAAAAGTTTCTCCTTTTAAAGTCCAACGGGTATTTGGGATTTATTTTGTGAAAATCTAACATTGGATGTTTGAACTGGAGAGGAATTAGAACAGAGATGAAATAAAAGGTTAAAGGTGCAGTTAGTGGGTCACTGGGGTCACCGTGGTAACCACACCTGTATCTGTCACTCCCTGAGTAGAGACTGAAAGTTGAACTGAAGGAATCTGTTGAACCGCGAGCGACAGAAACATCTGTCTGTTTAGGTTTTTACTGTTTTATGGAGGAAATGTGCGAAGTTCAAAATGGAAAATCTGATCTCAAACATGATGGGAGCCAGTGAGAGGTTGGGACACCTTCGGGTTGTTGGAGAGAGAACAGCCGAGGACACACTGACTGAAAGAGTTTGGGTGGAGAAACTGTAGAAAACCGTGGGGAAAAAGAAGAATGTCATAAATCATAAAATGTGAGCAGCTCAAAAAGCAGTCTGACGTCAGAACATCTCTCAGGGTTGAGTCTGGTTGGCAGCAGGATTTAAAAGGACTCTAGTAACACTTGTGGAGGTTTGGTTCTCTAAAGGACCACAGAGGTGTGCAGACTTATCACTCGAGTTTTAAATGTTTTTAAAACATTTGAGGGTTTTTTTCTCTCAAACCAACCACAGAGTTACTGCAGGTGTCTCAAACCCGTCTCAAAATAACTGGAGCTGCATTTTGATGCAAACCCTCACAATTCAGTCAAACTACTACAGAAAATATCCATCCATCATCTTCCACTTGTTACAAAGTCGTGTCGTGGGGGCAGCATCTTGAGCAGGGAGGCCCAGACATCTCTTTCCACAGCCATCACTTCTAGCTCTTCTGGGGGGACTTCAAGAAGTTCCCAGTACAACCAAGAGACAGTCTCTCCCATTTGTCCAGGGTCTTCCCCGGAGTCTCCTCCCAGTTGGACATGCCTGAAGCACCTCCCTAGGGAGGCGCCAAGGGAGGTCAAACGATTTCTCCAAGTCCGCAAATCATATGTAGAAAATCTGATTAATATAATAAATAATAAATACTTTGAGTTGCCAACTAGTTCCCCACAGCTGGAGGCCAGTAGTTTGGTGGTAAAATCTGTAAAATCCTCAAAGTTCAGCTGTGATTGTGTAAAAAGTGTTAAAGTTCTGAAAACAGCAACTCAGTCATGGAAAGTCCAACTTCCTGTGACCGGTTTAAGCTCTCAGTGATGGTTCTGCTGTGGTTAGCACTCGATGGATGTCTGCAGGACAGTTTTTACAGTTGTTACATCTCATCTACTGCAGGTTTTACACTTTCTGTGATGTCTAACAAGGTTGGACAAAGAAGAATACGTCCAGAGGACCTGGACGGATCAACCTTAGACTCATCTACCTGGATCATTGAGCATGCATCAGAACGTTTCTATGGTGGATTTATTTCTTGTACAGATTTTATCCAAAGCTGCATGATGCAAACTGAAAACCACGACAGAAATGAAAAAAAAAATAAAAAGGTGCTTAAAGGTTTTTGCACCAAAGGAACGCTGATCAATGTTAAACTACCACAGGTTCCAAAAAATAAAATAATCTAATCTCAGAGCGTCTGTGAGAATGTTTAATAGAAAATGTAACCTTTCTACCAAGGTCGTTTTCAAACTTTAGATTTAAACAAGCTACTGAAGTTGAATCGGGTTCGTCCTCGTCTTTGCACAAAAGCTTCTTGTTGCTGTAAATAAAACCTCCTACGTGCAGCTCGGAGCACCTGCTGAAGCTCAGACTGTACCTGCTCGTCCACCAGCAGCTCCTGAAATATTCAGAAAACTAAAAAACACACGAGCCTCCAGTTGGGCTGCTTCATTTCATTCCCGTTAGTTATTTCAAAGCTAAATGCTGTCAGTTGGGATTCGACAGGAAGTCAAAGTGACAGAGTCAAACAGAAAACACAAAGCAGGCCCAGAGTGACTGTCTGCACGGAGAATTATTGAAATTTTACACAGCCGCCAAAGACAGGCTGTCAAAACCCATGTCGCTATGGATTTTTCACACGGAGGGAAGGAGCGCGGGGTAATAAAAGAGAGCAGGGAGGAGAATCAGTGGAGCAGTGCCGGCTCACAGCCGAACATTAGCTGTGGTGTGTAGCGCTCCATAAAACCATTGACATTGTCGCTCTTGCTTTGTGGACGAGTATTACTGTAAACCAGGGCTTTCTGAGGCGAGCCGGCCGCTATTGTTCCTGTCAGAGGGTGAAGTGAGGGCACTTCACTTTATGGCTGCAGGAGAGGCCACAGAGCTGCGTCTCAAATTAAATGACCGAGATGTAAGTCCACAGATTGTATTACTTCTTGATTTGATCTCTTGATGCACGTCTGGGAGGCTGAGGAGAAAGGGGGAAAAAAGACTATATACGGTAAAAAGGGAGCTGTGCAGATGTTTGTTGTTTCTGATGTACTTCGGTGATTGGACAACGAGCTTCAGGACGACTCGCCCTGAAGCTTGATCAAATCTAGCTTTACTTCAGTTACCAGGATTCATAAACATCAAAGTTCATGCTCAATGATCCAGGTAAAAAAAATCCAACAACGTTAAGTCAGGTCCTCTGGACGGTTTGTTTTTGTTGAAATGTTTCATTTTCATCGCCAAAAAGAAGCCGTCCAAAGGACCAGACTTAAATTTGTTGGATTTTTTTACCTGGATTGTTGAGCATGAACTTTGATGTTTTGAACCACTTTGGCCATGGCTGCCTCCGACGAGTCAGCGTGGGAGAGGGCGGACTCCAGAAACCATCTTGGCACCATCAAACTGGTTGACCCACTATGTGAAGGTGCTATTTATAAGACCGAGTTTGTTGCGACTCCTCGGACTGATGAAGTCTTTTGGATGGAAAACAAAACGTTTCAACAAAAAGAAACGTCCAGAGGACCTGACTTAACTTTGATGCAGGATTCATAAAGTTCTTCTTCTCATTTAGCAAAGCAATAAATGTCTAACTGAAATAAATGTGCATTTAAATAACCTTTACAAAAACTGACACAAAAATAAACTATAGGAGAGAATTCTGACTTCAACTGAAGTGTGCCAGCAGTAGCAGCTGCTGCTGCAGATTACTGCTGAAGAGTCCGTCTTTCCCCACTTCGTGTGTCGGTTCATACCCCGTGAGTCAACAGCACCAACCACTGCACCACCCACTGGACCGGGCAGACGGGTTTATATAGAGCATTTGAGAGAAAGTCCTAAATGTATCCAAACGTTCAGAAAAACAAACGTGGCCTCAGTTTTCTTGGGGTCTGGGCCCATCTCCATTTGTGTTCTGTAAGTTGAAGCTCTCCTTCTGACAAAAAACACACTACAGCCATCATGATAAAGAATTTAAACAACCCGGCCCTGTCTGTATTTTGAACTTCTCCAGCAGAATAAATCAAACATGGGGGTGGATGCAGAGGCGGGTTCAAAGCGGGCCCAGGTGGGTACGATGTGGACGACAAAATGAAAGAACACGGCCCACAGAACTGCTCTGCAAGCTGTGCACTCAAAGATAAGCCCCATGTTGAACAGTTGGCCACTGGGCTCACTGCGTATGAACTGCAACACAAGATTTGTCCTTTTTCTCTCCATGCTGAGTCACCAGCTAGTCCCCAGGTTTTCTGGTCCAGTCCGATACCCGCTGAAGACACTTTCATGGCTGCTTTGTTTGTCGTTATGCGAACGAGCACCCTTTAATGAAGGATACACAGAAATTCATCTTTACTGCAGTTAATAAAATAGAACAACTATAACCTGCAGGAACAAGTCAGATGTGTTGAATAAATTGACTAATAAATGTGATGCACTAATCCTTACAGAGTTATTTTAACTGTGGCACCACACACCTGCTTTTTGTTTAAATTCTCTGAATCTAATCCAAAGCATCAGATTGCATCTTTAACTGTTCCTGTCTGGTTAATAAAGTTCAACAAGGTGCAAATCTGTGGCATAAACTCCTCTGTTCAGGTTCACATTGTTTGGTTTCAAGAAAGTAACATGAAGCGACTCCCCTCAGCTGGATTAAAAAAATTGATTAATTAAAGCAGACAAAAATAAAACCGATTTAAAAATGGCTGCAGGTGAGTGAGACAGAAAGCGGAGAAAGAAGTGGAGGGTCAGAAAAAACATGGCCGACAGCTGAGGTTCAGGGGTAAACACTGGAAGGAATGGAGGAAATAAGAGAAGGGGGAGGAGGGAAGTGAAGGAATGAAAGGGGGGTGGGGTGGGGGGGTCAGAGAACAGTGATGGAGCTGAAAAAGAGAAAGCAATAAGTGATGTGATGGTTGGCCTCATGAACCTCTTTCTTTCTCTGGAGATAGATCGTTTCATGAAAGGTCTCGGCTCTGGTAATAGCAGTAATAGTAGTGTGTGTGTGTGTGTGTGTGTGTGTGTGTGTGTGTGTGTGTGTGT